CTGACAAATAACAGAAGGCTAATTTGTGTTAGCTGAAAGCTGTGGAAAACATATAGACCTAAAAAGGAAGGGAACAATAATGTTCCCATGCAACCCTGATTTCACAGACAATGATATTGTATGCACTACACATGTTGTTATACAGAGTTTTATAAAGAAACACAGAAATGTTAGGTTTGGAGACCACTGAGGCTTCACTAAGTTTATAAGAAGAAGAATTTATATGCCTAAGAGTTTTTCTGGTTTCCTCTATCAGCAGCAACATACAAGATGTTCATGGGCCTGCAGCGCATGACTAATGAGGACTGTCAAACAAAGAGAAGGTTAAATGGCAATCTAATAGCAGCCTATGTGAAAGGGAGAAACAAAAAGTAAGGGACTAGACCGTTATTTGTAACAGCAGATGATAAAACAAGGGGCTACAGCACCAAATGGTGATTTTGGAAGTTCAGGTTGAATATTTGGAAAAAAATCCTTTTCACTAGGAGGTTACTACAACACTATAACCAGTACCTAAAGATACAGTGGAACCTCTGTCCTGGGAGGCTTTCAAGACTGAGATAGACAAAGCAATGTGACCTGTTGCTGTCAACAGTCCAGCTTCAAGTGGGAGGTCAGATAGAGACCTCCAGAGGTCCCTTCCACATCTCTCTGACTTGAAAATGTGAAGATAATGTTATAATTATAAAAATATTAGTATATTTAGACTTTTATTTTGCACACATTCAACTGGATATTACAGAATCTGCTGAGAACTTATTTTTGTTACCTGTGATGCTTTTCGTGAACATACCAAAATGTGAACACTTCAGCATTCTATGGAGACGCTATTGTTCCCACTGTCCCTCCCCTTTTTAGGTGTATTTAAATCCCATTGCCCTGAAGTAAAATAGAACAGGCTTTTGTTATTTGGTCAGAAGTTAGATGATGATATATGTAAGTTCTGTCCCTAAAGACGGATATGTACATTTGTCCCTCTTAAGGTGCTACTTATACATATGTATAGATAGATAGATAGATAGATAGATAGACAGACAGATAGATTTTGTCCCACACAGACACCTTTTTGTCCCCAGAGATGTTCAGAGCTTTATCAGGAAAGAAAAAAAAACAAATTTTACAAGGGACTAGAAGCAATTTGTTAATTGAGTACTGCAGTGTTTGTGCGTGCAGAAATTACAAGGAACAACAGAGTCAGCTTGATTTCCAAGAATACTCCTGCATATCTGTGTGTTCAGGGAGCAACCCTGCACAGCAGTAACAAACAGCCTTGATTCAGTATTTACATACAAAGACACAGGCAACCTTCTTGATAATGTAAGGTGTAAGAGTAGTCACTGTACATGTTGACACCCAGGCCACAGGAGTGAGAAACCACAGTCCAAATGTGGAACAACATTAGGTCCACTGTCGCACAGTAAAGGCGACATTTAGAGAGACAGAAAGCAGAATCCTTGCAAAAAAGCCATTATTTCAGCTGACTGCAGCATATACGTCACACACACTCTTAATAATAATTAAAAAAAAAAAAAAAAAAAAGCCAAACAGACCCTCATGCATTTTCTTGTGAGCTTTACCAATGAAACAGGAAAGACAAGAGTATAAGTTATTAATTTGTCACTGAAGTACTGCACTCAGGGTAACTCAGTTATGATCTACTAAACCCACCTGTGAAAGCAGATAAGATTGGAACTCCAGAAGCATTCCACCTTGAAAGAAGAAATCTGATATAGAGAAAAGTGCTCCAGGGTTGTTTAAAGTTTATCTACTGGCAGAAAAGCCTAAGGGAAAAGTGTGAGAGTGAGTTACAGTGAGAGAGCAGCAGAAGAAAGGGAGGACAAGAGGGCTGAAAGGCACTGTACCTTTTCTGCTGGAGTAAGTAGATTTCATCCAGACGTTTATCCCAGGATTTTTTGCCTTGCAACTTCTGGCTTAGTCCATTCCAGATCCGGAAATAGAAGGGCTTGCTATCCCCAAATAAAGGTACCCCCATAGCACGTCCGTTTTTCTCTCTTGCCTAGCTCCCTGAACACCAGCAACCCCCACTTTGAAAAAAGACAGGGAAGACTCACTACAGGTCACCACTCCTCTGACCTCAGTCTGTTACTTACAGAGGAGACTGTCCGTCAGCTTTATCAGCTGAGTAAAAACACAAAATAAAACTTGTCCCTAGCAGACCATACCTTGAGCCTCATCAAGTACTTAGTTTCCAAAATAGCCCAACCCAAAGGTGTGTCTGATTTAGAAGTAGCTTGCCAGCAGCCTCCCCTCACAGAGACCCTCTACAGCACTGAATAATTCATACAGCATCAATGTCCTAGGCTTCCAGTATTCCATTTCTGAGGTCTAGAATTTAGAAGTAATCATCCACCTTACATATTTCTGAATTCCTCTGGAAAGCAACATGTAAGCAATTTTGAAATAGACAGCTGAACAGGTCCGGCAAAACACCTTTTAGGTGAGTGAGCATGTGGGAATGTGCCCTAAAAGACACTGCACTCTGGGAAGGTAGTATAGAGGAGGACACACCTCCCACCCCAACTGTCTGCTAATCCCATTGAAGAAATTATCATTATGGACTCCGCCTTCTCTGCGTCAAAAATCACTTTACTTCACAAGTTGGAATAAGGACTTACGTAGATTTATGTGTAAATTTTGCATATTTAATTTTCTTTTAATGTTCTAAAATCTCATTGTTTCTCCACACGTCTTCACATTTCTTCCAGAAAAGCTTATTTAGGAAAGGGATGCAAATTTCTATTTAACAAAAACTGGATCTTGATATAGAAAAACACATTATCAAGGTCGTGTGGGGATGTCTGCAAAGCAGTAGACAAAAATATCAAAATGAAGAGAAGACATATCCTTCTTCTTGTGAAAAAGCTGGAAGCTACATGGAAAAAAAAAAAAAAACAACCAAAACAAAACCAAAAAGAACCACCTCTTAGTTCCTAACCTTCTTTTCCTAAAGACTTATCCTAATATTCTTGCATCTTGAGTCAACAAAAATGTCCCTTCATTCTTACTCCTACTATAATGGAAAAGAATTCGGTTTGGGATGCCTGGACCTAGGCAGAATCACTAAGTAAGGGATAAAAGAGTGTAAAGCTATAGGGCTGAGTCATCTCCTTGAAACTCCTGGATTATTTAGAGGTTACTCAGATTTACCAAATCAGGATTCACATCCAAACTTCTGTAAACTCATGATGTATCCCATCCTATAGAAACGTAAATTGCCACATAGAAAAAATAATGCTTTAAGGCAAACTTGAAGAATCGTGTCCTAAAATGTAAGATTCACTGAATGTTCTAGGAGGAAGTGTCAAGTTAAACTGTCATAATGGGAAAAATTTATTATTTGCTACATTGAGAGGTTAGAGTGTAAAACCAGCCAGATGTTATGAGAAAAATGTGACAGTTTTTTAACAATATCAATGATGTACCCTTCTAAACTTTCTTGAGGGGGGAAGGAGCTCCATCTGAAGTTGAGAAACATACTAGATTCTGAAGTGTTAGGTACCTATTATTACATAGACAAACACAATCTCTATTTTCCTGGGCTGTTCTCCCAAGCAGACAATACTTTCTACTGTCTCTCCAAGGAGTAAAAGCCTCCCTAGAAGACTGGTATCAGCAGGACAAGCAAGCAGTGACACATTCCTCCCTCTTCTGGGAAGCAGTGCTACTGCCACCCAGACAGCAGCTCTAAGGTACAAAAAGGGAGTAGCAGGCAGACAGCAGGTTGAGGAGAGAGTTCTCAGCTAGCCATGAAGGCAACAGTTGCAGCAGTCAGGGCAGTTCAAACAACTGCAAACCAGTATCTCAGGTGGACTCCCCACATGGTGATGGAGGCTTATTACAGATCTTACTGCAGTTTCAGATTGCAGTAAATCTGACTCAACAATTTTCCTTTACCCCCTTGTATGGATATAAAGTCTAAATACCAAAAAAGAGTGTGTTTTCTTGTAAATCATGATAGAGTTAATTTTTAGTAAGATACAGAGTTCAAAGATGGACAAAATACATAAGACCAAAGTCTCTTTAGCAGATCATGGCCATACATCTTAAGTACTGCTGGGCTTTCAGTCTAGCAGGAGGTTGTAAACAGTTTTTCAAAAACTAAGGATCTGATAAGGCCTAGTAGTTGAGGGATGGATTGTAAGTCTGTACAGTTTTGGTGTATGTGGTTTCCCACATACCTGGTATCTGCTTTTAGCTCTTTGTATCCCTTTCCACGGCTCCTGAATCATACTGTGACTGGCTCCTAGCCCTCATTCTCAAGGCCTGACTGTAGCTGCTGACATTATTCTAGCTCTACCTGTTCCTTGTTCCAGGCTCCTACTGCAAATAGGGTCTTTACCGTGGCTGCCAGTGATGCCCTTTCCTGGTGTGTATCTTGACTTCTCTTGTTTCTGACTTGGGCTGATTCTGACTGACCTGATTCCTAGAAACTTTTAATTCCAGCTTGACACAGCCTAACAAATATGACAGCTGATTTTGAAATCTTCTTATGCACAACTTCCCTCCTATGTCCATAGACCATGAGTAGCAATGTAAGCATGAAGAAATACAAAGTACAACCTGGCTAAATGTGTTCCCCGCACCACGGTGTCTAACAACAGAAAATTAGGAGCAGACTAGCAATGACAGGATGGTGTTGGTTCTGTGCAGTTCAGTCACCCCATGATTCTAGGGGATCTATCAACATTGCATACGGCACAGTTGGGATGTGTTGCACTTTGTAGAGCTATAGAAACTGTGTAAATAAGCCAATATGTAGAAATACTTCAGCAACAATCAAGGAATTCCTATTCTCACATACCTGCTACAAATACAAGGTAACAAGAAAGCCACTTTTACCATTGGGGATTGTGATCTTGCCAGAGACACTACTCTGCACCTTTTTATAGTGCATTGCATTTCTTTTAGTTAAAGCTAGATTTAAAAAAAAAAAAAAAAAAAAGCAAGCATAACATTTAATAGCTCAGCATGACTGAACTGACTTTTGGCAACCCTGGAACTTAAGTTAGCCTTTCCCAGCAATGTGCCTGAAAAGGAAAAATTATTATAGAAAAATTTCAGAAAAAGACTACAGGAAAAACTTCTACATAGTCTCCAGATTTCTCTTGATCTCAGCCATGTCTTCAGTTCCTTCTTTCTTTCAAACATAAATCAAAATGGCTATTACCTGGCCTATTATAAAAGTAATTTCAATGCTAGTGTAGAGACAGACATAATTTGCACAGTACATGACATGGATTCCTTTCCTTCTGAATGGCCCTGATCTTTACATTCCATGTACTCACAAAACTCCTGTTAACTCTCCTGGAAATTTTGAGTGCTGAAGGTATGTAAGATTGAATCCAATGTGCTTATCTGGTGACAAATCAGGGTGGAAGTGCACGTTCTTTTACCCCTTTTTCTGTTTTTGTCTTACACTTTCTTTAAGGAGTGCAAAATTGCAAGAGATGTGTGATATTTTAAAGTTACTATAAAGATGTAAGTGTGGTCTTGTCTTTCACAAAATCCATGAGAATGTGAACTGTAATTAGCAGGAAACAGAGAAGATAAAAGGCATTGTAAAAGTAAGGAAGCCTGTTGAACCTAAAGGAGAAACAATATTAGCTGCACATGGTAAGAGTCCCCCATTTTTATCTTCTGAAAAGATTTTAAAAGTTTCTCTTAAGCACAGAAAAGTATATAAAGAATGGGATCAGGAAAACTTACACAAAGCGGCTTTTGAAAAGAAAGCAAATAAAGGGAAGTGAACTTATTTATTATGATGAATTGAAATTGTCTTCTACATTTGCCTTCCAAATTTGCCCCCAAATCCATGTTAAGCATCTGGTAGACAAATGAAGTAGCATAATGAGATGCTTAACACATCTTCAGAGCATTATACAGCCATTGAACGACCAAGTTGTCTTGGCTAGCCTACAGCCAAGCAGGTTGTCTATGTCAGAAGTATTGCCCTAACCCTTCTGCTTGGACAAATTTCAGCACAAAGATTTGCCTCTTTTGCTGTATTAGGGACAGCATCAGAGCCACAGGCTGCCAGGCCATTTCAGAAGCTCTTATTCTTCCCTGTCTTGTTCCATATATTCTTTCTGAATCACATATATGGTCAAACCTTAAAAATAAAATGACCTTTTCTATTTTTTGATCCAACAAAATCTTTCACCTCACCTCTTATAAAAATTTGCTTTTAAAAAGTTCTCATTTCAGAAATCACAAGAGAAATCCTGTCATTTCAGCAATGGCAAAACAAAGTGCAGGGATTGCATACCCAAGTTTAGGCTACCATCTTAAGAGCAAGAGTGGAAATGCAGCTTGCAATCAGACCAGTCTTTCAACATCACTCCAGCACATTTCTGTTTCTACTGCAATTCTTTGTCTGAAATCGCAGCATCTAATAAAAGTTCTACAGATGTGAGAGGAGAGAAAAGAATGAGAGAAGCAGAAGTACAGGAAAAAGCAATGAAAAATAACGGTTTCTGAGTACAAACAGAACACAGAACTGAAAGTCAAAGAACTTGCCAAACAGTGGTGAGTTTCTCCATGTGTATAATGGATAATCTTCCATCTGAGAAGGTTGTGATAATGACTAGCCAACAACTGCTTGATGTGTTACAGATACGTTAGGGAATCCTGTTGGACTGTGATATTTCCAGTCATTCAAGTTACAGTATCTTACTTGTGTAGCATAGGAAATCGAAGTTGTGGATGATTGCATGCAAATGCACAGTATTATGTACAGTTTCATATCGCACAACCAAGTGGTGATATACATCAGAAAAGAAAACTAAGTAACAGAGGAAAGTAACTAGATATTCCAGAAGAAGCATACTAATAATGTTATCTCCATCAGTCTTGAGAAACTCTTCTCTTCACAATATCTCATCTGCTGTGTAAACAGGAATTACTTAACCACCAGTAAATCGCGTAACTCAGAAATAGAAGTAACTTATCAATGCATTATAAACTATATCAGGG